TCGCTCCAACCAGTCTATATCCTTCTGATGTTGAGGGCTCCACAGCTGGACACAGCATTCCAGGTGGGAGTACCACACTCCCCAGTAGCTTTTTGACCTGTGCTTGTGCATCTTGATCACGGTAGATGGGCACAACCCAGCCCCTGCAGCCACGCCGTTACCGACAAGTGCTCTGGAGACTTTCCCCCCCTCTGAGCCCTGCAGGCGCAGCAGGTAACGGGTTAGGCGCTGCGTGCCGATGCCATGTGCAGCATACCGCTGCCTGTCCTGTGACACCTGCGGCTGGACCTCCAAAGGCATGAGCACTGGCTGAGGTACTGCTGGGCACAAGCTTCGGGACAAGTCGGGGGCATTTATTTTCTTCCCCTCCGGCAAGAACCACCACACGCGGGAGTTGAAGCACAAGGGCAGTCGCAGTCCACACATCGACTCCGCATTCTAACTCTACTTTTCAGTCCCCGTGTACAGAGCAGCCTGAGAAGGAAGGAGGAGGCAACAATTTACATTACACCGCACTCTTCCAGGTAAAGGAGATCCAGTAGTTTTTTTTCAGAAGGAATAAATCACTTAAGAGTTTCTTCTGGCCACATCCAGTTTCACACCATTTGCGCAGGGAACCCACCAGCCACCAACAGCCGACCTCTGCAGCAGCTGCTTGACTCAAGTAATAGCAGACAGCGGGCTCAGAAGCGGAGCAGTTGCAGCACCGTGTCACTGCCCTGGCACCTACTCAGGAGGGCGGCAGCAGCGGGAACGGGGCACCTCCAGGCGCACCCTCTGCTCGGCAAACACCCGCCCCTTTTGCCCCTGCGGAGCTCGGCCAGGCTGGAGTGAAACGGGTGGTGGGGCAGGTGCTGATGCCAAAGGGAGCGCTACGTCCCTCGGCAAAACGGTCCTCGTGCAGCGGCTGGAAAGGGAAATGTCTGCTTATCGAAGCAGTCAAACGTACACGAGCGGGAGTCCTCGGCTGCCACCTCAAAGCACCTCGGCTCTCAGGAATCTCTTCTGGAAGATGGCAAAAGGCAGCACTGCCTCGCTCCTGGGCCAGCAGCGACCAGAAGTGCCTTGGAAAGGACTCTGAGCCGTGGCAAAAGGAAACGATGAAGCACTCCATGTCGCTGCACCTAAACCAGCGGAAACGCACCCCTGTGCTGTAGCAAGGCGGGCCGGGGCAGACAGAGCTACACCACCAAACCCTGGCCAGGGCACCGAAAGCGGCAGGCTGAGTCTCTCGAGGCTCCCTGAAGCGTTAACAACCGGATGTTAACCGCACGCGCAGGCACCGGTGTTTTCTCTGAACAGACCATGGCCAAACACCACGATTTGCACTGACTGGGCGTTGGTAGGAAAAACGTGCCTTTAAGAGACGTAACTCTGCAACTACGCCCCGACCTGAGTAGACGTGTAGTAGACGCATCCTCCCACACCCCGGCCTTCTGGGGTGCCTTTTAAAAGCAGACGGAGGTCTTGGCAAGTGTCCCCAAACAAGCTGTTCTCATCGCCCACCTCCTCACGCAAAAGCTGGAGCAGTTGGTTACCTCCAAAGAAATAGAGGGCAGGGAGTTTCAGTGTCATCGTTGCCACTGGAGACGGGATCAAGGTGATCGCATCCCTGCTGCTTCAATGTTACTGCATCAGTAACACGTTACCCCAGACACCCTTGGCACCGGAGCTTCTCCCGCAGAACCAGACGCAACGGGGTGACAGCCGCCTCCCCGGCCTTGGTTTTGTCTGGGGAGTCAATCACAGCTGCCTTTACACCAGATATACATCTGCCACCCACTGCTCCTAAGCAACTCTGCCCGCTGCGTGGGGCTCAGTTTGTCAAACTGGTCCCTGAAAAGCTTAAGAGGATCTCGGGCAGGGCAAGGCAGAGGAGGGAGAGTCCTCGCCCAGCTCTGGGCAGGATCAACTCCATCAGCACATCTCCCCATGTGTCCCACGGACGCGAGCAGCCACCCTGAGCAGCACCAGCAGCGAAAGGCTGGGCACCACGCCCACAGCGCAGGTCCCCACCGGGGAGCAGGTCCCTACCGGGAAGCTTTTCAGGTGGAAAGAGCTGAATTTTCTTTCAAACTCTAATTGCCTGTTTCCAGGATGAGAATTTCAGGGGTGAGGGGAGCAAAGAGCAGCCTGGGTTTGCACTGAAGTCCACTCCGTCGGTTATTCAAGAGGGAATATCAAATGGAATTGGGAACCAAAAATTTATAGCTTTCCTTTTTTTTTTTTTTTTGGTGAGTTTTTAAGAGTTTCACAAGTTGCTGGAGTTTTAATCAGTGTTGAAAAACCCCGGAAGAGAACAGCCCCCACCTAGCTGTCAGCCCCAAGGACCTGGCACCCTTCAGGTGTCTTTCTCAACAGTCAATTCCCACAGTTTATGTACTATTCCATGGCATTTCTCGGTTTCGGAAGCCCTTCGCTTGGCGGAGCAAATCACCATCATGCTGTGCTCATCACCCCGTGCTCGTCACCCCGATCCAAGTGTTCTTCCAGGTACACTAACAAGTCAGCAAAAGCTGACAACACCCAAGAGATCTTTGTTTTTCCGTAGTTGCTCCTCTCAACTACCCTATTCATAGAGTCACAGAATGGTTTGGGTTGGAAAGGACCTTAAAGATCATCTAGTTCCAACCCCCCTGCCATGGGCAGGGACACCTTCCACTAGACCAGGTTGCTCAAAGCCTCGTCCAGCCTGGCCTTGAACACTTCCAGGGATGGGGCATCCACAGCTTCTCTGGGCACCCTGTTCCAGTGCCTCACCACCCTCTCTGGGAAGAACTTCTTCCTGATATCCAATCTAAACCTCCCCACTTTCAATTTAAACCCGTTACCCCTTGTCCTGTCACTACAGGCCCTTGTAAAAAGTCCCCCCCAGCTTCCTTGTAGCCCCTTCAGGTACTGGAAGGCTGCAATAAGGTCTCCCTGGAGCCTTCTCTTCTCCAGGCTGAACAAGCCCAACTCTCTCAGCCTGTCCCCATAGCAGAGGTGCTCCAGCCCTCTGAGCATCTTCGTGGCCTCCTCTGGACTTGCTCCAACCCATCTATATCCTTCTGATGTTGAGGGCTCCACAGCTGGACACAGTACTCCAGGTGGGGTCTCACACGAGCAGAGTAGAGGGGGAGAATCCCCTCCCTCAACCTGCTGGCCACGCTGCTCTGGATACAGCCCAGGATATGGTTGGCTGAGCAAGGCCAGGGTCAGCATCATCCCCTAATGCGTTATTAAATCAGCTTTGCTGAGAAGGGATCGTATGATTAATTTTTCACCCCGGTGGAGTAACTGTAACTACAGGTGCACGCCAGCAGCGCGGCGGTAAGAGGATGATCAGCTTCCCAAAGTACCATCTGCATTAGTAACATTCATCCTCAGTTGCATGTTTAAAATACAAAACCGCTATTGCTCTCTCCTTTTATTTTACGAAACCCCTCCTGAGCAGGAAGGATTAATTTCATCATCCCTTCTCATCAGCTGTAACAAAATGCCCGATTTCCTGAAGTCACCCACCACCCGGACACCAATGGCACCACTCCTCGACAGGCTAGCGCGCCTCCCAGCTCCCAGCAGCGTTCAGCTGAACCAACGCAAGGCCAGGCTGGATGAGGCTTTGAGCAACCTGGTCTAGTGGAAGGTGTCCCTGCCCATGGCAGGGGGGTTGGAACTGGATGAGCTTTAAGGTCCCTTCCAACCCCAACCATTCTGTGATTCTATGACAAGGCAGCTTCTCGCTCTTCTCCTCCCCATCTCCAGGATTTACACGCACTAGCAGCAGGGCTACAACAAAGGCTGCACCAAGGTAACTCCTTTTCCAAGAAAGAAGTGTACAAAGCTTTCCTGACCTCTTGCTAGGCAGCCCTGCCTTTTATCAAAGCTACTGTCACCAAATGCCTTAGCTAAAAGGTTTATTATTCCAAGTCAAAAAACTGTGCACAGGGTAGCCCCCCCCTCAGAGTCCTCGGAAAACACAGAGGAAGTCCCCTGCTCCACATGTTTCTTCCACTAAGGAATGGTGGGACTACAGCAAGGCAGTGGCGATAACCAACATTATGGCTTGAGCTCCACCTTGCTGCCCAGGCGCTCGCTCGTCTCCCTCTTCTTCAGGATTTCTCCCCACGTTTAAGAACTGCACCGGAGCCCCCGGCCCCACCGCAGCAGATGAACAAGAAACCAAAACCCCAGTCCGCATGCCGCCGAGACACCCCAGCTCTACTCCTGTCCCTCTCTGGCGCCTGCCCAGCCCTTCCTCACATCCCAGCTGTGCTCTTTTCCCTTGGATTCTGCCAGCCTTCCCAGGCACAGAACCGACATCACCAGGGTGCTCCGGTGGTACTGGCAGTCATCACCAAGATGTGCAGCTACACCACAAACGCTGTATCGGCAGCAGCGCTCCTCGAGTCTCCAGGGGACGGACCGCCTCACCGATCTGACGACCTCCTACGACTCCGTGTGCACACAGAAAGACACAAAAATTACACCGGTTGTTTTGTTGGGGTTTTCTTGTAAAGGCTTCGTTTTTCGCTGCCCGTCAGCGCTGCCTCAGCCCATTGCACCATGTTTTCTTTATTATAAAAAGAATTGTCTTCTGTATCAGGCAGGAAGAAAGAACGTTTTCTCAGGAGGCTAATGCATACTATTGTCTGTCGTTAGAGGTAAGTGGTTGCTTGTGTGGCCGTCAGGAAGCGGGACCTAGCCAAACCAAAATGAAGTGTTATTAACGGCAACAGCATCTCCCCTCCCTCCCCCAAAACACACGCTTCTTTATTCCTGGGCATTTACTGTATGCCTTTTGCCTGGTCTCTCAAATAAATCTGCTCGTCTTCCCTCCTGTCCTCCCACTCACCTAACCTCAGCAGCTGGCAAACCGTGACAGAAGGGCAGAAGCCATGAAGGCCGCTTCAACAGGAGAAGTGCAAGTGAAACCAAGCTGTTGCTAGAGGAGCAATCCCACTGCTGCCCAATGAGGGACGGGAAAAGACGGCTCAGCTCTTCCACCCTGCCTGGCAGTAGCCCACAGGCTAATGCGCGGCAACAATGAACCCCCCCTGCAGCACATGGTGCCTCTGCTTCGGTCAGCAGGCCAAGCAGCGGAATAAGTGAGGGAGACTGACCAGGCCTTGGAAAACATGTGAGTTTTGAAGCAATATGAAAATAAAAAGAATATAGTAAGGACGATGGAGGGACTGTAGCAGAGGAATCTCTAAGAGACACTGTTTCATTAATTCAGCTTCTTAAAAAACACCTTGCTTCCTTCTGTGTTAGATTTTCCAACCACTTTAAAAGCTGTTGAATCTCTGCTCACATGTACGTCAACGGGAGGGTTTACTGCAAGCCTCGCATTCTGCTGGGACTGAGTCCCACTGCTGTCCTTACCCTCCATCCTCAAGTAGCTGTACCACTCACTCAATACTTAAAGTTTTTCTTACCGATGTGGGTCTGTGAGAGCCCAGTCTGAAACGGCAAAAAACAACTTCAGCTACAAATCCTCCAAAGCCATGTAAAATTCCTGCAAGGTCAAACAAGATGTAAATTCTCACAAGTAGTGAAACTGTAGCACTTTGAGAAGCATTACAACAAAACTCCACAAGATACCTAAACAGTAAACTGGTAGGTAAAGCACCGAGGAATTAACATAAAAAAGGAAAAATCAAGGGCAGGAATAATTCTAACATTCTGAAATGCATCAATAAAAGTACAGCCAAAGCTATCCAAGCAAGTGTAATTCCCTCTGCCTGGCTTTCATGGGAGACAATACATTCTGTGGGACAGAAATATCTACTTTGAAAGAGAGCTCTTACTTCAAGGCCTCTTTACTATGCTCTCTTCAAGCAGAAAGCCAAGAAAAGAAATAAACTGTCAAGACATACTACGGTATCTTGATTACTCATAAGTGAATGGTGTCCTTTAAACATACTTTATTTTGTTTGAAGGAGCAAATCTTGCAGTACGCTGAGCAGTTACACAAGGAAAATCTTCCCAATTACTTCAGATGGAATTTTTATCTAAACTTTGGCACTGATTTAGCACTGGATCTCAACTATAGGAAATACACAGAATATAAGAAGTCTCTTTGTGCATGTACCTGTATATATATACAGGTGTTTGTGTGTATATATCCCTATCTATCTCTCTCTCTCTCCATATATATCTCCTTGCTCTTCCAGAAGTAAATAAACTATGCTATAGTTACCAAAAAGGAAACAACAAGCCCTCAGAACAGCAGAAACAGCATACCAGGGCCCCAGAAATGAGTAGCTTTCACTGCACATTTCTGTGCACACAAACAGGCACCTTGTCTTAAACCTGATAGAGGTTTGGGACTCTCCTGTAATTTACCCATAACAATCACCATGGCCAAAAAAAAAAAAATCTGGTAGAACTTAAGAGGGAAAGCACTGATAGTTACCTGTAGTTGAAAAAATTCCCCCAATAATGCCACAGAGCCTCACTAAGAACTGCCAAAAAGGCATGTGTTCTTCTGTCACTGTCACCATAAGTGAACTGATATCATATTTCATGAATATTCCTGACACCCCATGGCTGCCAGCTGCATGGTTAATTACTCTTTCCTGAAAGAAGAGAGAGAAACACAAGTTAGTCACTTCTTATTAGTCACAAGGAAAACAATCTTAAGAGATATGATGAGCAAGAGCTACCTAGTCAAGAGTCTGCAATCAACAGAAGACCAGGGAACATCAAGATAACTTTGGCCAGTGCCTTCTAGAAGTCAAACGTCGTTTAACAATGCACTTTCCTGGTCACTGTTCTTCTCTGCTGCATGTCAGTGTTCACTACCATGCTCTGGTACCATCCTCTCAAGATCTGCTTACGTGCTCCTTGAAACAAGGATGTTTACAACTGGGTTGCTTTTGGTACCTATGAGGATAAGTGCCACAGTCCTGGCCTAGCCTGTGAGCTCAAGCGAGTGCATGGGTGCAACACAGTGCCCCAACCCCTCCTACTTTATGCACTACTATTAATCACTTACAGCAGGATGAGACCTTCAGGAGACCTGTAAGTTGTTGAACAGTCTTAGCTATGGCATCTTTCCCAGAGGGTGTATCTAATCTACATGCTGCATCTAAGACTCATTAGGCTTCATCCTCCTTCTTCCTTGGAGCGTATCTCTAGATTCATGTGCCACAGAGGATTTAATTGCTGGTTCTTCAAAGTATCAGGGAAGACCCTAAACTAGAGTATACCATAATGTACATTAAAAAGCTGCAGTTAAATTAAACCAATGCCATTTTTTCCCCTCAGTGCAAACCTACACATAATGCCATAATCCATTACTTTGATGGAGGAAAAAAAACACCAAAGGAAAAAGGTTGACGTTTCAAAATTTTCTGGGGTCTGAAAACTGAATACCAGTATCAGGCCTGTTTTCAACTTTTTTGTCAGTTAGCAGTCACACAGCAAGAAATGCACCTCGGCAAAAAACCTCCTCTAAACAGATCAGACGCCTCAGTCCTAATCTGGGAACTTCTACAGTTTCTTCTCATTTGCCCAAATTATGAAACCCAAAGACCCCACAGAGGAGAGTGTGGCTGCTATACATTTCTAACTTTTTATAAAAGTTATCAGGAGAAAAAACCTCAACGGCATCTTAAGTTTCTTTCAAAAGTTTGCTGTCATTCTGCTGTTAGTGAAAGGTGTTGACAGATGCACTGCCAGGTACGTCTGGCTGAAAACATACACGGGCGTAGAGAAGAACATAATTGGCTGAAGACAAACTCAGCCACGTCTGGGCTAAGAAGAGTAGAGAAAACAGACAAGCAAGACTGAACAGAACAGCAATATATCACAGCTCTATTTCATCTGCAGACTTAACAGTCTGTCCTCAAAAGCCACACAGAAAACAGTCCACAATAAAAGCAGAATACCACTTTGGAAAATACAGACAAGGCAACTTCTCCAGCCAGCTACTGCTGACATAAACCATCATGCTGCTTTTGCCACCAAAGTAAGAAGGATGCCAAACCAATGCATCAGTTACGATACCAGGTCAGAAACTTGGCAAGGGTTAAACCCCAGGACAGCACAGAATGCTTTCCATATTCCAAGAGCATGACAATGTTCAGCACTGGGGATGGGTGATCAGGCATACCAAGAAGGAAGAGAAGACTGAAGGCAGTTAACCAGAACATTGGCAAGGGACAAAAACTTGTTTTTCCTGTACTGTTTCCCTAAGCCTTAGTGGCCTTTTGAGGTCAAATGGTGAAAAACAAATACAAAGTTAAAAGAACTCCCAAAACTCCACCCTCAAAAGATACAGAGCTCTTTTTCCGCAGACCATTTTGGTCTGCTTCTACTGCTGCACAAGATTTTACCGTTGGTCGCTAAAACCTGCTGAAAACACCAGATATCTCAGTGAAGCCTTGCTAGAATTAAATCTTTTTACACAGATAAACAGAGTATCTCAAACATCAGCAACAGAGGAGACTGTTCTGCCCGCACCTTCACGCTCTGCCTCCCAGCCTGCTCGCCGCTGGCAGTTGAAACTCACTGTACGCAAGCTTCAGCCACGGCTAGCCGACCACCCTTCTCCAGGTCTGCACACGTGCCTCCTCTCAGAAAATAAATGCACCCGGTTGTTCAGTGAATAACTGTTCTTAATAGCCTTTCCCAGCTCCTCTGGGTATTTGCTAGGGCTATTTGGTTCCCAGAGATAAACACAAACAAGCTTTATGGGCGAGAAGGCTGCCTGCCGAGACAGCGAGAGCAAGCCAGCATGCAATGCCACTTTACCTCCACTATGCGCAAGCGTTTCTCCTAGGCAACCCACGACTGTGTTGCAGCTTCCATAAAAAATAGATCCCCACAAAAAAAATTAAAGAGCTACCTAAGACCGCAGAGTTAATTGACAGAAACCATCTTCGGAGCAGGAGAGAAAAACTCAATTCAAGATGAAAAATATGCAGTAAGGGTAAGATAAGCAGTTGAGTGATGTCCAGAAGTTTAAGGAGTGCCTTAGTTGTTGCAGAGATTGTGCAGAGAAAACATGAAGCAGACTGTTAGAGCAGGAGCAGATGGGAGTGCACTGCATTATGAAATTCCCTTTCATTCCTCTATTTACTCCAGCTTTCACGAGTTTTAGCATGAACCTTTCCCTTCAGCGGCCCGCCTGTCCCAAACTGAACCCCAAGACATGAACTCCATCCCACTTCCCCGAGGTACGTACTTTTCAGAAGCACAGCATAGAATTGTGAGGATTTTTCTCCCTTGGAGAACACCACAAACTGTATTACCATGGACTGCCATCCTAATCTGAGTTTTCTTTCAAGCCAAGGCCTCTTCTTCCCTCTCGCTTTACCTGTCCTTGTTAATTAAACTTTCAGCAGTGATTTTTTTCCTTTAGCTTTTGAATAAAACATCAAGTGTCTGGAACTGAGACATGCAATGGGTACACAAGGCCTTTTTCTTACTTACAGCAGTCTTTAAAACCAGTACCTTATGACTGGGCCATGTACTATCCTGCAGGAACTACTTTCTTTACGGATTCAGAATTAAAAGCCTCTGCAAGCCTATGAGAGCTCCCCAGCATGAAGAATAAAGTTGGTGGTTCAAAAAAAGCTAGACAGGACAGCTGAGAGACAGAGCTGCTTTCTGCGTGATTAGTTTTTCATACAAACTGCTTTTGCTTCCATTTCTAACACTCCACAACCAAGTTCATGACATTTCAAGTGAGCTCCATTTTTCGGTCTGCTTCCCACATGGATAAAAAACTAAAGGTAAATTAAATATTTGTAAAGCCACACATAAGATCACAGACCTAAAACTTACAGTATTTCCCCCTGCCCCCCACTACTCTTAGCATCCAGTGAAGTGGAAATGACTGGATACCTAGCATTTATTCTAATATGAGACTCCAGGATCCACGGATGCAGAACACTAGTGCAAGAAGTTAGGATGTGTCACCAAGCAGGTATCTTTTGCCATCAGCATTACATTATTTACACATAAATCCAGCGCATGGGAAAATTCTGGAAAGACTCTTGATACCAGCAGAGTTTCCATAACCATGGTACAAGTAAGCCTCCATTTTCACATTTGAGCTTTTGTTAAGAACAATCACTGTTAGATTTTTCTCTGTATGCCCTTCCCTGACTTCTACTTACTCTTTCCGTCACTGAAAATTGATGAGTTTCTGCTGAAATTTTATACGTATGGAGTTTGGTTGGCACAACTGTGATAAAATACTGAAACATCTGGTTGTCTAGAAGAAAACAAATCTCATTGTTGAATGAAGTACAGAGTAAAAGATTATCTGAGACATTCAGAAATAAATAACATTTAAAACAGTCAATCAGCTCAGCCATTTACACTAGGAACATTCTTCAAGAAGTCTCAGCACTGTCAGCACCACCTCCATGATCAGAGTTAGTTTCCACCAGCAGCGCCTATGTCACGTTTGTTCTCAGAGAAATTCACATTTTACCCATGTAATGAAAAGATTCATTAATGTCAGGCTGCTCAAAGCTTCAAATGAAATGCAGATGCAGTGTTTTCCAGGGCACTAGAACTGAACAGGTTTCACACAGACACACTTTGCGTGATACCTACATCTCAGCAGTGGCTTATACACACCTGACCCATTAAACTGTCTACACAGTGCTGGAAGCCCTTCCAAGCCGGCTCTGCTTTCTCTCTCAATTAGACAGCCCTCTCCAGAATTCTTCTAAAGCAATCACCATGCTTATGCACTTAACGATTGCTCTGTCTTCGTGCAATTCCCTAAGCGAACAGGCTGACTGACAGAGACAGCAGCAGCTTCAGAAGGTTCGCTCTCCCGGGGAATGCAAGTCAGAGGATGAGGCGTAGGCAGCTCTGTGAAGTAGGTTACTATACTCCTTTATTCATACATGAAGAAACAAAGGCATACACAAACCTTCCCTCTAGCAGCCTCACAAAATACACCATGGAAGTGACAAACCAAATACAGGAATAGAATCCAAGACTCCTGATGCTGTTTTGTTTAAACCAAATCAGATGCACATTTCCCCATTAGGACAACAAGCAGACCTATGAATCTCCCGTGCTGCGAAACTCTCTGCAATTTGTTCAGACACACTGTCACTTCAACGTAACACAAACCTGGAAGAAACTGCAAAGCAGCTTCAAGCGAAACACAGCGATCGTGCTATCAAAAGGAAGTCGCCCCTTTAAGGCGCCACGCAGACAACCAAACAGCGCACTGCTCGCGACCAAATTCAGCTGGACATGCCACTTGTAAATCACAACACTTATGAAACATGGTCATATTCTAAATGTAAGCATTGGAAAAATATGGAAAAAAAGATGCCGTTTTAAACACACAGCACTTACGATCTGCTGCTATTTTTTCCGTTCCATCCAAAGGATTAATAATTCCTGGAATAAGCTCTCCAAATGACAAATGATCTATTCTGTGAGAGAAGTTATAAGCTGAAAGACAATACAGAGGAATAAACCAACATTAATTTAAACTATTAGATCCTGTACCCTTCTCAGCGAAGACGATGCACACATTTCTCACACTGGGAAACGCATGCTAAGAGTGTTTCAAACACTGGTGTGTAGAGTTGACTGGATTTGTGCCTGTGACTATATCAACACATCTACGTACATGTTTCATCCCAAACTCAAATCCAAAATACTTAAAGAAATTCAGTTTCTTTCCCAGAGAGCTTCTAAACCAAATTATAACTCCATCTGGATCAACCCTGGAGCTGAAGAGAGTTAAAATTTCATGACAGGAAATTTCTAGTTGGGCAAATACTGAAGTTATTCTTCAGTTTGGGTTCTCATAGGCAATGGAAGACAGAAGTTGCATAAATTTAATGTACATGGGAAGCATAAGGCAACTACCAAGTTACTCTGTTGCCTAATTCTGCAAAAGCATGTAAGCTCTGTAGTAGGCTACACTTGGGTTAACATAAATTCATGGGCAGGTTTAACCAACCCCAAGTTCATTTTCACAGTAAGTCACCCTTGCCTCACATTAACTACAAAACACGTTTAGTATCTAGACTCATCTCCTAAAAACTAAGTTTCTAAGAACAAAGGTCAGAAATATTGAACTTGATAAAAACAGATTTTGCAGGAAATAGGTACTTGGGACTGAAATACAGGAATTTCATATGGTATCTGTGTTCAACAACGTACATCTGAGATTCCTGTGTTATTACTGCAGTAGCAACCTGAAGATAATACTAAGTGTTAAGCATAGGAAAGTAACTAACTACTGAGTTGTAACACTGTACAGAGTATTCTTCACCTTCATCTACAGTGTAACTGCTCAACCAGCACATCCTTCCAACAGCAACCTACGTTAACGTACGAACTAGGAGACAGCAGTCTGAACGGAATGACACTCGTTTGCAGGGAGATGCTAGAAAGGACTTACACTCGTGGCTTACAAGGGCTGCCAAGTGTGCATGGCCTCGAGGGTGCGGTATGGCCCTAAAGAGAGCAAGACGTGGTTTATGAAAAACTTGTTTAGTGAACGCACACAAAAGACAGTTTTCCTAAACAGGCCTATGTTGAAAAATTACCTCTTCCCCTCTATTTCAACAAATACTTATATATATATAAAAATTATATGCATATATAAAGATACATATGATGTGTGTTTTACAGGCATATAGATACAGACAACTTTTATACACATATAAAAAACAAGTATGCCATTTTTATTACTGCCAAATACAGACAGCTTGAGTGACAAGGTACAGAAACATAACACTCACGAAAACCCTCTTACATTAAAATTAGTGTCTTGCATTTTTAGACGTGTCAAAAACACATCAAGTCACTAAGCTACTAAAAGATCCACCAAAGGCTACCCTGTGAAAAGCTGCAGAACTGCTCAAGTGACTAATGAAAACTTTACTGTACTTGTTCTAAGCCTAAGCAAGTTAACTTCAGGTCCAGGCACCTGTTTGCAGCCCTGTAAAGAAAGTAAAATGGGAGGGAAAAGTGCAACTCTGGGAAGTAAAAGAGTCTCTCAGCCACGCTTCATCCCTACCAGTCCAGCCAGTAACGCAGGCAACTCTCCTTACCTAGCTGAAGTTCAACTGTTGCCAAACACATGACGTTTTGGACAAACAGAAGGTGGAGAAAGACAGTGAGATCAGTCAAGACAGAACTACAATAACCAGGCAATAAGGTAGAAAGGTGGCCAGTGAGAAAAAGCCATTTAAAAAGCCTACAAGAAGAGAAAAAGCATCTTAGCAGAAAAGTACGGATGTAATGAGGAGCAAAAGGAAGTAAGAGATTATTCAGGACTGCAGAACAAGAGACGGGACAAGAGAAGTGACGGCAGTACAGATGAAAGGCTGAACTGATCAGCTCTGAAAGGGCTTAACTTGTTGGACATCTAGGGACAAATCAAAGAGGTGGTACAAGACCAGACAGAAGCGACATTTGGAGAAATGCCCAAACAGAGAGCAGCTGGAATTACACATGGATAAATTAGAGTACAGAGTGCATGCGAAGCGCTCTGGTGAGAGAGGTGGCAGGAAGACAAGTGAGAACAGCAGAGCTGGAGAGCACAGAGAAGAGTTGAAATGAGCTTGTATGCAGTGCGTGTAAGGGAATCCCATTGCCGAAAGTCTCTCCTCGAATCAAGATGAACTAGCATTTAGCTCCCTAACGATGGTTCTGTAATGATGTCATCTCAGCACTGACATGGCACATAGCTACACTTCATGATAGTGAACTGTGTACTAACAGAAGGGAGGAGTTTGGACTGGCCTGAAGAATGGAGGCAAGTACAAGCAGTCCACTCCATCTCACACACTGACAGGGGACCTATTTTCAAGGTGTTTCATCCCGTAAGACACTGGAATTCATAACCGCTAAACTGCATGCAGCAACGCACTGCACCGCATCGTTTCAGTAACTTATGAAGAAATTTTGCTTTAACTCTGCAAAAAACAAGATACCACATGGAAAATACCACCTAGCGTGTATATGGGAAGGTTAAAAAAAAACCCAGTCATGAACTCAGAAGCGTAAAAGCACATATACATGCATGCACCATACGGAATGCAGAAGTCAGTTCTTTTATTTTCAGGAATTGAACAGAACATACTTGCCCACAGTTATGTGAAAGTTCCCTGCCACTTTATTGACATAGAGATGGCCATGAATTCTGCAGGCGTCTGGAGACTGGAATGAATTAACTTCCCTGTTTAAACAAAAGCAACATAAAGAGTACTTGAAAATATTCACTACCAGAAATAACAGCAGTACAGTTAGATTTCTTTTTCCTAGCATAAAGGTACAGCATTACCATCTAACTCTCCTTATCATATTCCTCTGGAATTACAGCAGGGATGGTGGAAGGGAAGGAATCTAACAAAGGCCAGTCTGATGAAACCAGTAAGCTTTTGTTCGTACTTGTACTCAGAGATCTGGCCAACAAAGCTAACTTATGATATCTGAACACGTGAACAGAAAACATCAGACCGTAAGTGTATCTTGCTGCCTTGGGGTTTTTTTTTCTTCCAATTACTTCTACCCAAAATGGTTTAGTTGGGTAAGTTTTAATGCTACAATGAACATAACAAAATATATTAGTCACGTTAACAACACTGTAGCAAGAACAGCTTCAAAATTTATTTTTTATGAAACCTTCCTCTTCCCACACTTGTTGGGGTGTCCACAACTCAGAACATATTTCCAAATCTGTTCCTCAGAGGGAGGTGAGGGTGGAAAAATGTTTTTTAAAAATACATCTCAAGCTTAAATACATCTCAATTACTGCGCTAACAAGCATCAGAGAGGCACAGGACAACTTAATGAATCTGAAGGCATCAAGTAAATGAGACAAAAGATTTTTTGAGCTCTCTCTAGCCTCACCTTAAAAAGCAAGGAGGTATTTAGTCCTCAAACAGGTAGGCTACAACATGGGAAGTGCTTATAGTATTTTTGGTGTTTGTTTTGTTTTACTTATGGCTTGCTTGTGTGTGCATCTCTTTTTTGTTTTAAGGGGAAAGAAAAACGTTTTCCCCTGAAAAACAAAAAAATCACATAGCATCTAGAGTCAGACAGACCAAGCCTTCTATGCATTATTCTCACAGCACTTTGAGGGTAGCTGGAATACAGTGTAAACAGCAAGGCTTCTCCATACAATTCTAACAGTGTTATCTTAGATGAGGGCATTTACTAACAAAACTCATTTTTATTCAATGGTTGATTCTTTTAAAACCATAACATACTAAGTCACAGCTAATAGCAGGACTTCTCTTTAAAGTTGCTGGACAGAAAGATACTCTCTCATTTAGAAAAAAAGACTCTCATTTAGTATTGCTTTGGCATTACTAATTCACTTTAAAAAGGAAGCGTCAGATGAAATAGACTAAAAGGTGTGTGTACACATTCATGTGTGTGTCTGTATTATGTATACATATATACGTACACACACATAAAACCTAGAAACCTTCTCTAGGTTGAAAACTCAGTATTTTAAAATGCAACAAAAAGCAGCAAGGTCGTCTTTTCTTACAACCTTATCTTCTCAAACAATGTGAAGTCTAATTGAATAGGGCAGGGAGAGGGGAATGACAACACAACATCCCAGTTTTTCTTACCGTGGTGGCAGTGCTGTAGAAGCACTTTTAAAAGCACTTTTGAATATCACATCTTGAAGAGAGTGTTCTTCCTGCAGCCTACTCTGAATTAGCTGCAGCATCCTAAAGGTTACACAGGCAAATGTGAAAGCATGCCACAGTGAAATAAAAAATTAACTTCACAATTAATAATCAGCTTCAGCTGCAGGTTATAAATCAAAACATTAGCAAGGTTCACATCAATATTAAAGTGTTAAAATAAACTTTAAGAATAGTATTTTACACAGAGCTTAAAGCTCTGGTGTTCACAGCGTGTTAACAAAATACCCAAACTAGCCAGACTCCCAAATAAGCCTCAGGTTCTATTACAAGACCATCAGTACAGCGATCACACACATAACCAAGCAATTCCAGTTTAATTCCAGATAAACAGCATGTCAATGAAATACTCAAACTCATTTACTTTTGCAAGAACATGCCAATACGTTACTATGGTTCAGCTCTGACATTAAGGTATCAAGCCATCTGTGTTACGTGTCTGAACCCGCAATTAAAACTTGTGCTACCAAGCATTCGTCTGGAAACATGAGTTGAGTGAGTCCATACATCTTGGCTTGCAACTGCATGAGCCAATTACACAAGTCCAAACCCCATTTTTTCCATAACAGAGATCTCAGATTATGAGAAAGGCAAAGCAAATTAATATCCTTTCAACAGTTTGCACCCTTAAGTTACAAGCAGGACCTGTCAGACCCAAGATGTGGTTCTGCTTTGTGACGCTGCTGTACCTCAAAGTCACTTCCAGTACAAATAATACAAACCAGAGGCATGCATCTCAGCGTCTTACCTTTGCCATTCTTTTTGTTGTGGGCTGAGATCAAATACTACCTGAAACAAAAATAACACACCGAATTAACATGCAGGAAGCATCGACGTCCATCCATGAAACCCAGAAGGGAACTGGGGTGTGGGAAGGGGTTGGGAGTTACAATCAACTTCACACTTGGTAATACATACTGGAGTTTATGAAAGGACTTTGCACTTTAATAATACATTTAATGGTCAAGTATGGAAATTTCTGTCCCTTCCCCCCAGAATTATTCACTTCTTTGCATTTATAACTTCAGCATCTTTCCTAAAGCTCTCATAATGTCAGTCAGCAGTTTCTGCCCCTCTAGTGTTTGACTAACATGGGACAGAAGCAGCAGTCAATGGCAACTTAATTCTAGCTGACATGCATGGTTTCCATGCAAACAGCAATGAAACAAGCAGAGGAGCGATCTCTGAAAGTCCGGGTGCAGAGTGTTTATTTCTAGGGTCATCCCACACTGAGCATTTAAGACAAGCCCTTCAAGGCCAGGTACCAGACCTGCTATACTTCAACCACCAGTAACATCTGTGCAGTGAATTCAAATCTCCGTCTTGTTAGCACCGACGTACTCCAGATAGTAAATTCAACAGCAATTAATGCTCGAACCAACCAGAGCTATGGCCAAGAGGGATCAAGTACCGCTAAGACTATAATCACTGGGACAACTGCTAGCACGCAGCGGCACAGCGATGACTGTCCAGACAAAAAGAGGAAATGTTCCAAGGAAACAAATAAACAAAACCAAGTTCCTTCTGAGCACATGCTCCCATTCAGCCATCTCCTCCTGCTAACACACACGAGGAGGAATTTGGACTAAACTATTGTAATTTGGAATATGGTTCAGTCATTAGAGAATGTAATAATTACAGCAGGAAGTTACATTCTCTAGTAGGTTTTCTGCTAGTGATAAATTACTTTCATACAGCATAATTTCTTCAAAGCTTATTGTATTACGCAAGCAAACCCACTTGAAGAGCATAGGCTTACACAGTTCCAGCGCCTTCAGTTCACAATAAAGAAGTTAAAAGGACACTAACCCAATTTACAATCTTTAATGTCATTCCATATTATAAGGCTATCCTGATGACTTTGTGCACCTTTTTAGAATCCTAGTATTCTTCTAGTTAAAAGGCAGGTACAGCAATTCTCTTCTTATGAGAGCTCTGATAGTTTTCCTTCCAGATCACATACTGTTAGCATTTTTCCCTAGAATTCGCACATGTAAAAATAAATTCCTATAGAAACCACTACCTTATTAAGAAGCACTGAGCTGGCAGAGAGTGAACACACAAGAATCCCAGTGCTACCCTTCTTCCCTAGGAGACTCCTGGGGGAAGTACTGCAGACCTCACTCAAGGATCAGACAATACCTGGGGAGGTTCTGTGCAGCCCAGTTGTGGGGGACAAAAATACAAGCAAACAAGCCAGCCCAGCAGTGTTCCACATCAAGTAAAGGACAATTTCCTTTTTAAATAAAAGGGTAAGAATCAACTTACTGGTTCATAGATTAGCCCATCTGCAGAGGCGACCATTGTTTCTGCTAAATCCAGAACATCAGCCCCCACATCTATGTTAAACAGGAAGAGAAATATTGAGTCATACAGATGATCATAAACAAACAAAAAAAAGTTCAAGTTGAAATGAAGTTTCTCAGTACAGCAGTAAACTTTCAGTATAAGTTACTATACCTTGTTAACCAAGTCCAAACCAAAAGGACAACAAATCTGGCAAGAAGCAGATTACTGGGAGGCAGGGGAAACCACAGAATCCTACTTATCAAGCTATCATATCAGAGTATCATCAGCTGATGCGCAGTGACCAAAACAAACTTTCCAGATTTGCAGTATTTCCTCACTGACAGAACACCCTCTGTTATGTTGTATGGACCACATACACAAGCTTTCTAGTATCTATCATACATAAACCTTTCTTCCAGTTTCATAAACACTGAATCCAAACCAAGGCCAGTCAAAACAGAGGAGAAAGTTTTGTTTATTTTCAAATTTAAAAAGAAAAATTAAAACCAGAATTTTCAAAATTTCTTAGGCTAACTACAAAAATTATTGAAAAATATTAAAAGAAAATGTGAAGAGTAAGAAGGGATGACTTTTGAATTAATACTCGTGAGACAAACACAAATTGTATGGTACTGACCATACAATTATAGTTTGCCCTAACCCCTAACCCTATTGATGTACCATACAATTAATGCAAGGTTTAACTTAGCCAAAAAAAAAAAAAAAAAAAGTAGTCTTGAAAATTTGCTTGCATCCCTGGCAGCAGTAGTATTCTCACACTTTCTCAGTCCAGGACAACCAAAACTAAACCATACAAATAATGGTTCATTACCCAAATGATGTCAAAAGAATAGTAAGCATTGCCTTTAAATGGTAAAGGCATCCATACAATCATCAGGAGATGAAATTACCTGATGGTTCCAGTACTGTTAAACAGTAGACCAGGTTAATATTTGCCCAGCTCATAAAGAAATAAGAGTTGTGATAAATTCAAAAGTTGTGTCTCTCAATGAGCTTTTAGAATGTTCTAGATAGAGAGAGACTGGAACAACAGATCCTTTTTTTGCTAACAGACAAATGGAAGTTCTGCGAGATGAGAACGAGATAGCATAAATACTTTTCTTCACATCTCCTACCAATTCTTCCAGTGAGTCACATGCCATCGAGATCACTACATACCATCAAGATGAGAAGAAATCTCGCTGCTAGGATATTTTGAACAATATCCAACTATAGTGCAAGCACACCCATACTCTGTAGAGCCTTTAAAGTGTTACAAAACTTTCACTGATGGAATACTTACATTGACACCTCATGGCGACCGTTATATCAATATTGATTCTTAACTTACTGGAAGGAAAAAGAAAAGGCAAAAAGCTAGTGAGTAACATACAGTACATGTATCAAGAGATACATTACTAAAATCCTCAGATTACTTGCAGAAACACAGTCAAATAACAAAATTTACACCAATAGATATAAACTTAAGCTGTTTAAAATTTGGGTGAACCAAGATGGACTTTGAATTATTAAAGCACTGATGACCACTTGTAACTTAAGACATCACAGCATCAGATTTCCTTGTTGATTTTTACAATGAAACTCCTAACAGGATTTTGAAAATATTACTGGCCCAAGAGTGTCGTCAGACTCCTGTTAAGAATATATAGTTTTCAATATTTTATACTCCCCACCCACCGAAAATACAACAGTGCAATAAATTGCACAGAACACAGTGGATCAGGACAATCTAAAACTGAGTTGATTTAAAAAAAAAAAAAAAAATCAAACCCAACATCCCAAAACACTCTATCATCCCAAAAGTCCGATTGTGTGGCATTCCCCAATATTCTGGGCATTTCCTACTGGTTTTCATGTTAGTTTCACAAAAATATCTTTAACTGTAATGAATAAATCCCCTCACTATATCCATACGGTCCTATCTCCTCCAGAGAGCTGCTTCTGGGAACTCAGCTGACCACAAACAAATGACATGAGCCAAGGATTCAACATCGGCTCGAGTCGGGCTCAGACATGGTCAGTAGAGAGGAGAAAAGCAGCTGAAGTGACACCAACCTCCACTGGTTTAAACTGTCACAGAAGTGCAGGCTGAGTGATCAGCCCACAATCAAACTGGAAAATCTGCAGCAGGACACCTCTCAAGTCCCATCATAGTCTCTTAACCACTAAACTATCCTTCCCGTGTGATAGCTTCACTTGGGAAAGAACTTACTTTAGCAAAGACCTAAATGTGAAACTCCCATCTGTCTGAATGGATTTACTCTAACTTGAGTTTTTGATGCATCTCCCTTAAATTTCTCATGTTTCTTATTTTTTCATTACAGAAACCTTTGGTATTTCTGACATATAAGATATCCAATTAATATCCATGTCTTCAGCTTGTTACCACAGCAACCAGTAAAACAGCTTTTGAAGTTATTTCAGTTCTGTATGCGTGATATTTCAATGTGTTCAGTGCACAAAATCTCCCATTAACTTCTCACGGACACCTGACGACCGCAGGAAAAGGGGCGAACGCAGCCCAGACAAGCACAGGAAACCAAGAGCAAATGTATCTTCAGCCAGTCTTGGAAGCCGTAGCTGGAGACAAGATCAGCAGCAATCTCTAGATAACGGAGTCAAAGTTCAAGTGCTTAAGGTTCATGTCAAGCAGCACAACGTGTAATGGCAATATACCGTGTAAGCGTCACGCAAATCCGGTGGGTTTACATAACTGATGTGGAGTTATGTATTACAGTGTCCTCTGAATTGTTAGCTAACAACTCCTCAGGGGACTCCAGCAAACCTACAGTCTTCTGATGACTTCATTGCAGCAATCTCAATTTCTCTCTTCATGGATTCCAGAAAAGAAAAAATCCAAATCGATCAACAAGAGAAAAATCAAGTCCCTTTAGTATTCCATTTTTCATTTCAATCATAAATTGCTTGCAAGTCACAAACACTTTAAAGCCATTCTTTCCTGAAATGCAAACAGCTTATATTTTAAGAGGAATTATAATGAATTAAAAAAATACCTAGTAAAATCCTTGTCTACTTCATATTCGTATTTCATCCATGTGTCCCGATACACCATGAACTCCATTACGGTCAGGAAAGCTATTGTCGTAAATGCTATCAGGGAAACTGAGTGGTGAAAAGAGTTTAGATTGTGAGAAATGTTATTCAGAAACACGAGAACAAAATTTGAACAATCCCAGAATCTGAGCATTACCAGTACAATACGAGTATCTTGGATTTATAAACGCATACGCTGCTCTTCGAAAAATGTTTTCATAACTTCAGTACTAGTTTCTACATAGGAGGGAAAAGAACAAGTCCTAACTTTGCATCAAGAAAGTACTTTTTACACTAAGTACAGTCAAATACTAGAATGATGGGGAGGTTGTGAAATCCCTATACAGAAGATTTAATAACAGGATAGGTCCTCCTCTACATATAAACCAAAATTCCCACAAATCATTGTCAGGGATGGTCTAGGCAACCTCAATCCTAAATTCAAGCACAAAAGAAGGAGAAAACGCACCTTGAAACCCCTTCAAGACTCCACTTGTCTACAACCTAAGCTTTTACAACAATTTTTTTATGTCTAGTTTCAGAGCCAAGACAGTATCAGACAAGAGAAATAATATGCATTACATGCTCTGTCCAGTTAGAAAAAGGTGGCTTGATTATATCACTCATGCATAGCTGCTCAGTCAGCACTCCCACCCCAGTATTCCAAACAATTCTCCCTCTGGCAATAAGCAACACATAGCTATTCATTCTACCAGCAGCTAAGTAAGTGAAGAACTAATTTGAAATTAGTTTTAGGAAGAAAACTGACTGATATAATTCAATGGTACGCGTGCCTCGCTTATCTCCAAAGCAGCCCATTCATCACACTTGCAAAGTCATACAATGCAAAGGGAAGATCATCCTGCCGCACACAGCCAGAAAACAGTAACGGATGCACAGAAGCACCTGCTACGCCCCTTTTATTAAATCATGGCTTTTGTTAAATTGAAAAAGCTTCAGTTGTGGTGCCCAGTAGTGCTTTGTACAGCTTACTGACAGTGTATGTTTTCCATCTGCATCCTCTGACAGTGTATATTTTCCATCTGCATCCTCTGGAGTATTTCTACAGAGTCTGTGAGGGGCAGCTTGAGAAAAACACACGCCTGTGGTTGATGGGCTTCAGTTCACTACACAGTGAACTGGCTCCACAGCCCAGAGGTGGCAGTGGGGGAGTGAGGGCATTGTCCTGCCAGGTCAGAAATAAGCCACTGGCTGCTGCATTGATCAGCAGCGTTTCCAGTTGTAGCCTTCAGCTGAAGCTATGTAACCATCATCTATAGGAAAGCCTTCATGTCAATGCACACTGCGAACATCAGATGCACTGATCAGTTAATTGTTCTGGCTATCAATTTCCTTTCGGAGCCCAGCAGGCCAGACTCACCCCAGCTATGCAACAGGAAAGCTGGAACTATACTGTCTATCCAAAGTCACGAGGAAACAACTTGAGACGCAGCTGCTTACTGCGTAATTCAGCACAAAGGTGTTTCTGGATCTAAACAGGAAAGTAAAGTCTTGTAGAATTTCCAGACAGATCCTCTTTTCTGAAGGTTCTCCCAGCACCAGAGCTGGAGCCTCAGCCTGAGAGACCAGTACTTCTTTTGCAAAATGGATTTTAAGGCACTGAAAGGCTGACAACAGAGCCTTGGTATGTTTTGAAGACCTATCACACAGAGAAAGTAAACTTGGGACTGTAATCCTGAATGAAATGGGAATAGTATATACAATCTTATAATGGTACAGAGTAAGACAATCCTATATTGTCATTCATAAGGCTACTGGGATAAACAAAAGAATGCTAAAGTAACTTCTGGTGTTGAGAAATCCTTCAGGCACTCTACAGCAAAATGAAGTTCTCATGAAGGATGGTGCTATACTACAAAAAAATCAATTTTTAAGCATTTATTGTTTTTCTGCAAATTACAACAGAAAAACCACTCGCTTTCTCTGGAACTGGGACTAACGTTAACAAGGTTATTTAATCAGCTCTTAGAGATTATTTTATACACAATAACCCTTTAATTATTAACAGTGCAATTGAGGAAACATAGCAAAGTGATACAGATCCTTGTGATATTTACTTCTACACTACAAGTGGCATAATAACTTCAAAGGCCTATCTGTAGATTGCAATTGCTTCTCGTACTTGTTATTCAACTGAGTTTCAGTCATAATCGCAAATGAAAGAGATTTCTGTCCTCTATTTCAAACTAACTGCTAGCAGTTTCCTATCTAACTGCAAGTCCAATAATCCAACAGATGAACTCACTATTTCCACATCAGGGTACCCCTAACTCCACCCAACTTACAGGCACAATTTTCTGTTCAGATACATATAGAAAAGGTACTTCTTACAGCTATGGCTTTTGAAAGAAGCTCAAGTGACAGGTAAGTACAGTACAAGCACATGCCCTGCAGTAGAGTTGTTAGTTCTTCAAAGGGCTTTCCTTCCTCTTAAAAACAACTACACCCTCAAGACAAAAAGCTCTAGAAAGCTGCTCTTCATCCTGATGCTTAACTAAGATGGCTCTTGGACACTTCTGGAGAATGTTTTTCCTCTTTATGAAAGCACAGAGCTGATGAATCCAACCTGCATTTCAGCTCATGCTGACACAGCCTCACCCAGAAACCTGACACAGAGAAAAGGGCTTAGTGAGACAACGAACGAGAGGAAGTTGTATCACAGCCTTGGCACAGCACCTTTCCAGTTGTAATGGGTTAGAAGCTTTTACAGTGAACCTTTACACTGGTTTGGGTCTCACCAGTTTTGCACAGAAATCTCCCTTGAGATGAGTGATGAATGTCATCTATTTGGGTAAGATACTATGTCTTTCCTTGAAGAAGATGAGCTTTGTCAGTCCACAAAAGAAATCAAGAAACCAATTTTGGCTAGTTTCAAATGAACACAGATGCCTGTCTTCCTGCTATTGATGTTTCTATTCCCAGAGCATGCTAGACTGAGCTAACAGCCAACATGAATCATGTCAGCATCTCAGTAAGGCCTACCTGTGCCTCCGCTCGCTGAAGTCTCCACATAGCTTTCAGGAACCTTTGGAAAGGCATCCAATTCTTTCATCAAATTCAAGGTCTTCTTCCGATTCAGTCGCCTCATCTTCAGCACACTCCTCCACCTCTTCCTTCATATATTCCCTCTGATTTGAGAATAAATTGTTGTGATTAAATGACAAAAGCAAAAATGCTCAAATCAACTGGCTAGAATTATAAAGCAGTAATAAGGCAATTAAACCCCAAGAAATATGTTTTCAAGAAACATGTGCTAGAGAACTGGATGGTCACTCATGCTTCAAGAAACTATTAAAATTGGGCTGTACACTGCTGCTTACACTCCAGTCACATACAGCACGTCCTCCATGTAATTACTATGATTAATTTCTTTCTCGATTAAATTCTTATTGGTACTGGATATATTGAATTTTAAATTGAAAAAAAAAAAACCAAACTCCCTTCTGAAGTAAGCTAACAGACCTGACAGACACTGACTTCGCAGAGAATATCTAATAGGTTGCACAGACTCAGGAGGATGTCAAACTGCTCTGGGCTCCTATATTCAGCCAGTGTGGGCACATACTATATGCTAAATAGGAAAAAACCCCAAATCAGCAAGCAGTGCATTTTGTGTTTTTACACCTGTAGAATGTTATGGTCATAATAAAATTAGCTTTTTCCCCCCTCTATAAAAATGCCCCCCAAAGCAAATTAGGTATCAAACCCTAGCTCAATTCTTCAGAACCCTTTTTATCCATGACATGATCTCTGCCCTGCTTGAAGTGGTTGATACATTAAGCAACAGGATGACGAGAGAAGCAGCCTGCTCAGGAAATACTGCCTTAAACTGTTTCCAAGTGATGCAAATAAGCTCACAATCCGGTCCCGCCAACATGCTGCGTGTTTTAACAAGTTGGCATTGCTGTTATCCTTCTGAAGAAATACTGCACTTTGCCCAGAATTTCTGACGCTATGAGAAACGTGTATTTACTGTATTCTAAGAATACGTCACATCACCATACCCTATTTAAAGACACCAAGGCAGACAAGCTAACTTACACTGCCAACGTGCGAGACGCTCCTCAGAATCGTCTCGTGGAACAATCTGTTAACACATCTCTCCTGTTTCAAGAGCACATCCAGTCTCCAATGTGTCCTAGTGAAATTACTCAAGAGCTATTCCCTGCTCTGCCCCTCCCTGGTGCTGAGCAGGGTTCGTGCTGTGCAATAACGAAGGAATAGGGTTTACTGGAAACGGAAGTTCACACGTGAAGAATCACTATCTATGCCTGCAATTTCCTCACTACAGGAATTTGCTTCAGGCCTCGGTGAGAAGATACAGGCTCTGCACCCGGCAGGAGCATCAGTCAAGCCAGCCTGCAGGGACCAACAAAATGATACTGTGTGTTGCAGAGCATTCAAAGAAACCACAGTTAAAGTGGGCACAGAAGACGGGTGCTGGAACGGAAGTTCAGTTATACAGCATCCCCCCACCACCCCAAAAAAAAAAAACAACATCAGGGAAGCAAGGTCCTGTCCTTACTATAGTACATCACTGTGTTTTAAAGAATCATCTCAGCTCCACTCGGAGTAGCTCAAGGAAAAGTTGGAAAATTTGGGAGCACAGATACGGAAAAGCAGCTGCTTGGACACAATGACTGGAGCTGTAACATTCCTTAGCACAGAGGAAGCGCCGGGCAGGGTTGCCTGCTATCCTACACGGACTGCACTGAACACAAGTTAGCACCCTCCTGTTCTCCCCGTCTCTTTTCTGCTATCCCGTGTGCAGAAGCACACCGTAAACATGAGATACGGCACGAGATAAAGCTGGAGAATTTGAGAGCACTTCACCGAGAAACTTTCTAAACCATCCTGCATCAGTGAGCATGCAGATTTCTGTCATCTAGCCAGAAGCATCCAATTTGTTCACTCGATTTTTTGATACAGACTCACTTTACAGACCGAGACAGGCATCTCATACCTTCCCCCCGCCCATCCCAACACAAGCACCCCAGAAACACCAACCATAAGCATTTGGAATCCACCGCTACTAAAGCAACAGATTATGAATCTAACAGCCAACTGAACAAAACCATTGGTACAACGTTAAAAAAAGGAAAAATATAGCGCAAACACCACTGGAGACCAGGGCGGCCGCTCGAAGCAACCCTGACCCAGCGGGGCGGGGGGGGAGCTCGGGCAGTTCTTACTTACTCCGACAACTTGGAAGCGAAGCCGCTCCCGGCGCCGCTGCGCGCCTGA